AAATATTTCTTAAAAAAAAAAAAAAAATAGGTCCAGCAAGATGGCTCAGTGTGTAAAGGCACTTACCACCAAGGCTGATGACCCAGAACCCACATGGTAGGAGAGAACTACAAGTTGTCCTCTGATGCTACACATGTGCCATGGTGCACAAGTCATTCATACACACACAGAGTAAACTAATGTAGGGGTTTTTGTACTCCGAGCTAGCCTTAAATTAAGTGGTCTTTCTGCTCAGCTTTCCTAGTGCTAGAGTTACAGGCCTGGGCTTCCATGCTTGGTTCTCACTATGCTTTTGATTTTTATTTTTCTTGGTGACAAGTGAAGTTGTTATCTTTCTGTGGGTTTATTGTGTGGCTATTCATGCTATTCCCACTTCACATGTGAAGAAATGTCTAGTCAAGCCAGTCAGTTGCCCATTTTTTAATTGATTCGTTATAGAGTTCAAAAGTTCTTTGTGTATTATGAATATTAATCTGTTATCAAATATAAGATTTGTATTTTCTTCCATTCTATTTTTTATCTGTGCTTTTTGCTGTCATATCCAGGAATTCATCAACAAATCCAATGACATAGATTGCCATTATGCTCTCTTCTAAGTTTTATAATTTAAGGTCTTAGAAATAGGTCCTTGCTACAAATTTGGTTAATTTGCATATAAAATGTAAGGTAAGGGTCCAACTTCATTCTTTTGTATTTAAACTCCTTTTCTATTTTTCTTTTTTTAGTTATTATGCAGGTTGAAGCCAGACCTTATACATACTAGGCAGCACTCCACCACTGAACTGTACCCTACTTATATATTTAGTGAATTTAAACTTGCAGCCTGGAAGTTATAGAAGTTTTAATGCATTCTCTCGTTCATGATTTTTTGATTTCTGATGTTTCAGTTGAGCTGTTACCTCCAGTTCTGAGTATTTTTGTCTTTAAAGATTAGGTTTCTTCTGACTGTGTGTAAGATTTGTATTGTGGTGAGGTGACTAATTGGTAGTCGGTTGTGGGTTTTGGTTTTTTGAGACAGTCTTACACTGTACTGAGAATATAGGCATGTGCCACCCTATCTTGTTTGCACTAAGTTTGTGTTAATTTCAGCAAATTCCTCCATTAGATACCTCCATTTCAATTTTGGGTTTTCTTACTTGATCTCAGCAGGGGTTTTGGTGTTTTAATCTGTGCCTTCATTATACTTTGAAACTCCAGTGACTTCTCTTAAAGCAATGCTCCTGCAATGTTCTCCCCAGTCTTGTCACTCCGGGGATGCATGGATTAAATTTGATTTTTAAACTGAATTTGTCTCATTCTTTTATTTTAGTATCTTGTACTTTGGTTTTACAATTTCCCATCTAATTTGTTTACCCTTCTTTTCTTAATTTTGGCTTTGTATTTCCATTCTGATATTTTTTGTTTCCAGTTCTGTACTGAAATTCTGTCTTTTTTTTTTAAATGATCTCATATAGAGTGATTATATTGACTTGAAAGTCTTTGTGCTGCCTGCTAGCTCTTATTTTTACATATAGCTACTGTGGGTCTGATTCTGTTGTCTTATTTCTGCTATCTTTTCGTTCATATTGTCTCTCAGCTGTTTATTTTCTATAGTGTCTGAGGCATTTTTTTTTTCAGGATTATTTGTAGAAATCATTTGAGGTTGAAAATAACAGTATCTTATGACAGAATTTTATTTCTTCTTGTTAGATACCTGTTGGCTCTGGTGTCTGGTATTATCTAAGTTCACTTTTAGAGTTGATGATTTGAAAGTGGTCTGCAGTCTTTGATGGGCCCGTTAGCATCCAAAGCTGATCTCATCAGTGTTCCCCTCAACCACAAGCTTTCTATACAGACCTTTGTTACATTGAGACTGAGTGGCTGCTAAAACTCTTATAAAGCCTTGCTAATCACCATATGACCCTGGAGGAAGAACCCCAGATTCTAGGGTTTTCTTTATGGGCCTCTGTCCTCTAACCTACTAATTCTTTGTTCTCTCATTAGCTCTTTGATACCAAGAGTAAGCTTTTCTTTTCTTGTACTCTTCATTGTTGTGATAGGGATTAACTCGGCCTTATACTTGCAGAGCACACACTTCCACTGAACCACACATTCAGCCCCAAGTGTGTGCTTTTCGTGACATCACTTACCTCTTCAGTTATTTCCATAAAGTACGTTAGCCTCATAAACTAATACTAAAAGTAATTTGCTCTTTTAGGCAGAATATAAAGTTGCAGTGGATACTATGTTCTTGATTCTACTTTTTATTGCAGTGGTGCAGATTCAATAGTGTCTAAACCTAAAATTTGAATACATCAAGATTAGCATTTGAAGCACTTTGAAGGCAAAGGCAGGAAGATTTCTATGAGTTCCAGGCCAGCCATGCTAACTGTCTCAAAAAAAAAAATAAATAAAATAAAAATAAAACAAAAAAGTATTACCATTTGTTATCTTTTTGGTTTGGTTTGGTTTGGTTTTGGTCTTTTTGAGATAGGTCTTTTTTCAGGCCCCAGGTGACCTGAAACTTCCTATGTAGACCAGGCTGGTCTCAATCTCACAGAGCTCCATCTGCCTCTGTCTCAGGAGTGCTGGGACTAAAGGCTTACACTACCACGCCCACCTGCATTTGATATCTTGATTGAATTTTGAAGTTTATTTGTTGACAAGGTTTGATAAAGGGAATCATTGTCTATTTTGTACCATTATACATAAGGTTATGAGAGATTGTTGTCAGAATCATTGTTTGATATGGCTTAGTTTGGTTTGAGACAGGGTCTCAGGTAGCCAGGTTGGCCTGGAACTCAGTGACCTTGAAATCCTATTTCAACCTCCAAAGTGTTGAGATTGCAGGTATGCACCACCACATCTAACTGATTACATCATTCTTTGCAGTCATCATATGACCGTTAATCATGCACTTTGTTTTATCAGTGTTTTGGGTTTTTTTCCCCTTGACATGTTAGGACAATAGAACATTTTATTGTTTTAAAAAAAATGTGGGCCTCATCTATTTGGAAGCAAGGCTTAGTGGACAGGAGATTCAGCACTTTCCTTTTTGAAAATGTTAAGTTGTAAGAGCTGCCTCTTTATCCCTAGCTGAATTTTAAAAGTAGACAGAGGCCGGGCAAGGTGACTCACAACTGTAATCCCAGCACATGAGAGGCTAAAACAGGACTGCACAGGTTCCAGGTCAGCCTGGGCAACAGAATGAGACCCTGTCTCAATGAATACAAACCAAAATAAAAATAATAGTTTTTGTAGTGTTAACAGGAATATTTTTTGTAGTGTCTGATACAGCGAATTCTTACTGCGTTTGGGGACTTTTGTTGTTGTTTGTTTTTTGGGGTTTTGTTGTTGTTGTTTTGGGGGGTCTTTCTTTGAGACAGGGTCTCCCTGTAGCCCCAGCTGTCCTGGAACTCACTATGTAGACCAGGCTGACCTTGAACTCAAGAGATCTGCCTGCCTCTGCCCCCCGAGTGCTGGGATTAAAGGCATTCGCCACCATGCCATGTGTGAGAGTTTGCCTGCATGCATGTATGTCCGTTATATACATACAGTGCTGGTGGAAGCCAGAAGAGGGTGTCAGAGTCCATGGAACTGGAGTTGCAGATAGTTGTGAGCTGCCATATGGGTGCTGGGAACTGAACCTGGGTCTCTGCAAGAGCAGCAAGTCCTCTTAACCACTGAACATCTCTCCAGCCCCCTAGTTGAGTTTTAAGTTAACATTTTTTTTATTGCTTATTTAAATTTCCTCCTGAACTTTATATTTTTGTTTTGTATTTTCTTTACCAAACAGGATTTGCCCAATAACATGATCCATCAAGTGCCAATCAAATCACTTCCTCAAGAATGGCTTTGGTGTGAAACCTGGTGTGATGATGCCTCTAAGAAGAAGGCGAAGACAATTGACTTGGTAAGCTGTCCTGCTTCTGTGATCTGTACTAGTACCTGGGCTGCTGGCACTGAATTTCATGGTCTCTCTCTACTATTGTGAACTTGGGACTGCAGAGCATGTCACAGTCAGCTCAGGGGGACTTGACACAGGAAGCCAGGTCCCTGAGCAGCTGATGGGGCAGTTTTCTGCTGAGTCACTACTTGTCTTCCAACTCACCTCTGTGAGTAGCAGTTTTCACATTTAGTTACTTGGAATGGTTTTTGGTTTATTGTCCATTTAGGACATGTGACCTAAGGAACAGAGACACCTTTGCCATGTATACTTTTTGCTCTAGGCTAGACTTAAAGTCCCCATCTTCTTGCCTCAGCCTGAGCAGCTCCATGCCTACTGGAAACACCTTTTAATTCTGTATAGTGTGCCTTTTCTTAAGTTTCATTGAGGTGTGTTTGTTGTGTCTTCAGTGTAATAATCCCATGACCAAAGAGCCCAAGCTGGAGGCAGCTATGCGAATTGTCCCCGAGTGGCAAGACTATGATCAGGAGATCAAGCATCTGCAGACTGTCTTCCAGAAGGAGAAGAAGATGGGGACACTGAATGAAGAGAAGACACAAGAGGCCAGCCAGAGAGGTGAGCATGAGCCTCTGCCTTTAAATAAGTAATTCTTTGTATTTCTGCTTTGTTTCCAAAACAACAGAATAATGAGTATGGAGGGGGGATTCTCTTCCTTAATCGTAGCACCAGCAGGGTTTATTTTTCATTTTGCCTTTGCAACAATACTTGTAATATAGTTTTGCTGGCTTTTTTTTTGCAAGGGGATGAAAAGTTCCTTTTTAAAAAATTAATACATTTGTGTCCGCGCGCGCGCGTGTGTGTGTGTGTGTGTGTGTGTGTGTGTGTGTGTGTGTGTATGTCTGTGTGTGTGTGTGTGTGTGTAACTTTCAGGGATCAGTTCTCTCTTCCAACATGTGGGTCCTGGGGATCAAATTCAGGTGGTCAGGCTGAGGCTTGGTGGCAAGCCCCTTACTCACTAAACCATCTTGCTGGCTCCAAGGCTGCCTTAACTGTGATTATTTTTTTGGTTCAGGAACTTATGATACATAAACCAAACCTGATATCATTTGAGGAACTCTTGTAAGATTTATTGGTGATTTTTGTTTGTTTATTTGTTTGTTTTTTCATTAATTCTGTCAAGATACTAGTGAACAAATGAATTTAAATCAAAATGAGGTATATATTGATTTTTTAAAAAATGTTGTAGAAAGCAGGCATATTGGGGTAAGGATGGATTAGATATATTTAACTTAAGCTGAAGATAAAATGACTTCTTTTTTATTGAGATAGGGTCCCACTGTGCTGCCCTGGCTAGCCTGAAACACACTATGTAGACCAGGCTAACCTCAAACTCAGAGATCCACCAACCCCTGCTGCCTGCCAAGTGCTAGGATTAAAGGTATATGCCTGGCTACATTTAAGACTTCGATCCTATTTGTTTTTTAATACATATTTTTTTATTTCTTTTTTTTTAATGTGTATAAGTGTTATGCCTGCATGTGTATAAGTACACCTGTGTCGTGCAGTGCTCTTGAAGGACAGAGGGTGCCATATCCCCTGGAACTAGAGTTTCAGACCATTGTTAATCACCATGTAGATGCTGGGATTTGAAACCAAGTCTTCTGCAAAAGCAGCCAGTGCTCTTACCCACTGAGCCATCTCTTCAACCCCAGGTCTTATTTTTTTAATAGATTTCAACTTTTATTCCATATCATTTTTATTATATCTTCATAATATCTTTTACAGAGTAAAAGTACACATATACACAAACAATTTTTACATACTCATACAATTTTAATTATCAGGCAAGTAACCAGCAGCAGGATAAAAGAACCTAACCATTGTTATGAGAAGTGTTTTCTTGAGGGCTGGGAATGTAGCTCAGTGGTGGAATGCTTAGCTAGCATGTGCTGATAAATAGCACAGCTAAAAGGTTACACAGTCACCTTAAAAACAATTCAAATTCATTATGAAAACCCATCCAAGGTAAACTGGCAAAAAAATGTGAACACACAGTTCAAAAGAAGAGGCAAGCTACAAGTAATAAGTAAATTAGAGGAAATAGTAATCAAATTAGAGTTGTCAATAGTTCCTGCTGTATTAGAAAACCATAGATATATATTGGTAATGCCATGCGTGGAGGAGAGAGTTGTAAGCCTTGCTGAAGCTGTCTGTGTTTGGACAACCCTGTTTAAAAGTGGCATGCCTGAGGCTGGAGAGATGGCTCAACAGTTAAGAACACTGGTTGTTCTTGCAGAAAACCTGGGTTCAAATCCCAGCACTCACATAGCAGCTAACAACTGTCTATAACTCCAGTTCCAGGGGATCTGACAGCCTCTTCTGTCCTCCGTGGGCATCTTACCTACATGCAGGCAATACACGAATACATATAAAATAAAAAATAATAATAAATTTTTTTTTAAAAAATGGCGTGCATGTTATCAGGAACCTTTTAAATACTATGTCACTGTGCCAGTGAGATGTCTTAGTGGGCAAAGGCACTTGCTACATAAGCCTGGCAACTTGAGTTTGATCCTCAGAACCCACATTAAAAAGTACAAGGAGAGAACCAGTTCCACAGAGTTGTCCTTTGACCTCCACACATGCACACAATTTTTTTTTTTTTTACAAAAGAAGGAAAATGCTTATATCTTCAGAAATTCTTGTTTTGGAAATATATCTTAAAGAATTCAATAAGGAAAAAATTATACATGTAAGGAAACTTAATGGTACACACCTTTAGTCCTAGCACTCAGGAGGCAGAGGCAGGTAGATCTCTATGAGTTTGAGATTAGACTGGTCTATATAGTGAGTTCCAGGCCAGCCAGGACTAAATAGTGAAACCCTGTCTCAAAAGGCAAAAAACAGCATCAAAAACAGTTTCAATATCCAAGAATAGATATACTAGTACATAGAATAACATTTATTTAAAAAGGAACACCCCTGACTAAAAATGAATTGACTGAGAGCCAATACTGCCCTTATGAAAACAATATAGCCAGAGTAGGATTAACAGGTAGTTTGAACTTTTTTTTTTTTTTTTCTGGTCTTTTTGAGACAGGGTCTCCCTGTAGCCCCAGCTGTCCTAGAACTCACTATGTAGGCCAGGCTGGCTTTGAACTCACAGAGATCCGCTTGCCTTTGCCTCCTGAGTACTGGGATTAAAGGTGTGCACCACCATGCCTGGCTGTTTGAACATTTTTAAAGCTAAAAATGTCTTCTTTCTTTTGTGTTTGCTTTCTAGTTTTAATACAAAAATACCAAACCAAAGCTCTTATAAATTCATCTGAGAGCTACAGTGTATGTGTGTAGTGGGGTAAACTGTGGACAATGCCCATGCTATATTTTATGACTTGTCTTATATTCCATTGTTCTATTTTGTAGAATCTCAGAAACACGAAGAATTATGATCTCTGGAGGAAGATAGGAAATCCCACCATTTGACAAACAGTTTTTATACTAAGTGCTAGTTTTCTCTGATCTGTCGATACAACTGCTGATGAACTGACAGGGCAGGTATGCCATACCTTTTGATTCTGAGCATTTGATTTTGACTACTGTACTATGGTGGGTGCTGGATCTTTGGGGCTAAGGCTCTGATGGATTTGTACCTCAGAGGAAGACAAGTGGCTGATCTTTTGGGACTCTGTCAAGAGCGCGCTTATAACTTGAGGAAGAAAGGGCAGCAGCAACTGAAAGAAGCCGAGTCCTTTGCCCACATCCAAGAGCATGTGTTACTGCACTGGCCCAGAAGCCAGCCAGCAAAGCCACCATGTTCTTCCTTACCTCAGTTTACCTACAGCTGTCGCTGCACTGCAGATGCCCACCCAGCAGCAGAACCTGGCAGAAGCTTTGTCCAAGGTCCATGCTTCAAAGGTGTATGCCAGTGTGCTTCTCACCCCCCTTCCCGTGTTCTCCCAGCATTTGGTTTATCGTTTACTGAAATCCAACCAACAATTATGTGTGTTCAGGGTTGGCTGAGTGTGATTGCTAAGCAAATCAGTCTTCGGGAGGACTCGGGTAGTTTGAGTGAGGGCTGGGAAAGCAGCAGTTGTAGGAGGGCTCTGGGTGCTCAAGGGAAGGAGATGAAAACTTGGCCTTTCTCTCATAAGCCATCCATCCATTGTGGCTGAATTGAAAGGCAGTACTACCCTGCCCGATCCCAGTGAAACTTCTAAGTAATTGTTTTGTAAACAAACTTTGTATTTATAAAAATGATTGCTTTTTCTTCCTACTGTCTAAAAAAAAGTCAGTTATCAGATTCCTGGCTGGACACAGCCGTACTAAGCCCCTTAGTGATCCATCTCAGGCTCCATCCAGATGGTCACAGCACCACCTGCCCTTTCTCTTGTAGAGTTTTATCTCAGACCCAGGCCTTTTCTCTCCCAAATGTTCTTAGATTTAAGATCAGGAATAGCTCTGACCCTGGAACTCACAGTTTTCTCTACACTGTCTTGTTTCCATTTATTTTAGCTCTGAAGGTTTTCTTTGGCTTGCAGAACTTGCCAAGGCTCATTCCAATTCTGAGGTAACATAGCTGTGTTGTGAAGGACTACAGCCCTTCATTGCTCTGTGTGTCTTCACGGCCTTGGCTGTGCAGCCCTTGGGTTTGTTGTTGGCCTGGACCAGTGTGGGGTTCCATCTTGCCCAAGATGCAGGTGTCTATAGTAGAGCACTGATGGATACTGTCCCTGCCTTCTAGCTCACATGGCCTTGTGCTTTTTTACCTGCCTTTTGAAAATAGGAAGGAGGCTGGAGTGTGGCTCATTGGCAGAGTGCTTGTCTAGCAAGCCCAAGGCCCTGGGTTCCATCCTAGCACACACATAGAAAAAGAATGTGAAAAACAAGTACAAGTGAATAGCTCAGTCCTCACCCTTCTGAGCTAGGTGGTGATACATTTGTTTTGAACAAAGAATGATCCACAATAGCCATATTTTTTTGGTTTGAACAAGTAAGTTTATAAAGTAATAAATAGCAAGAGATAGCAAAGCATCATCAAATCGAAAACTCAAACAGAAACAGACTGAGGAAGCCCCTTTAAGGCAGCCACTGGGAATTCCCTATTGAGAGTCCTAGGTAGAGCAGTGTCCTCTCAGTGAGACTTCCAAGTAAAAGAACACAGCAAAGGTAAGTTAACATCATCAAATTGGGTGCCTATGACATCCAGCAGAAACTGATTAAAGAAGTTGAGGCAGTCATCTAGAGTTCCCAGTTGAGCCTTTTCTCCATGGCTGAGCTTCCCTAGGCTAAACTTTCAGCTTCTCTTTCCCACTGCAGGCACTTTTATATCATTGGATAAACAGAAGCTGAGTCTTTTGATTTTGATAAGGTGTCTGGGAATTATTTACCTCCCAGCTGTGTTCAAGGACACCATGTTTTTACTAACAGTTCTTCTGTTCTGAAGGACATGGTATTTTGACTCTTGGATTGTTTTGCCCTCCATGTCATAGAGTTGGTGGGGCAGTTCATCCCCAGATGATGCCTTGGAGATCACTTTGAGATAAACATGTTTAGGTTTGAAATGGGGCCAGGGGAGGGAGGCAGAAACCCCGCTTCCATACCAGCTTCTCATTGAGCTAAAACAGCACATGACCTTTACCAACATAATGTACATTTACAACATGGATATGAAGTCTTTTTAAAAATAAAAATTTCAGCTGGGCATGGTGGCACACGCCTTTAATCCCAGCACTCGGGAGGCAGAGGCAGGCGGATCTCTTTGAGTTCAAGGCCAGCCTGGCCTCCATGGTGTGTCCAGGACAGCTGGGGTTACAGGGAGACCCTGTCTCAAAAAGACCAAAAAATAAAATAAAATAAAAATTTCACCACATATATAGTCATTTTTCCCCCTTTTCAAACACAAAACTTAGTATGGGGCCATCATTTGTTCAAGCCTCATCTCCACATTGAATTAAGCTTTCAGAGATGCAGTTGATGCTGTCTATAGCTATAGACAGAAGCGAGAATCTTCCCATTGTACTAGTATCCTGAGGTGTTGAGCAGGAAATACTCAGGTTGTCAGAGTGTGCTTTCAAGTGGTCGCCCTAAGCTGGGTGTGGGGGGATGCACACCTTTAATCCTGGCACAGGCAGAGGCAGGTGGATCACTGGGAGTTCTAGGCCAGCCCAGGCTACAAGGAGACCCTGTCTCAAAAATATTTTTTTTAAAAACTGGGGGTCCTAGTGGTCAGTTTTCTTCTTTCTATAATTGCCTGATTGATTTCACACACATTTCTTCCTTTATGCCCATTCTTTGGGAAAGGAAGGTGCAGACGGAGTGTTCTCTGTGTTCTTAGCTCCTCATGCATCACCACCCAGACATAAGTCTTATTAACAGTTGATGCTAGATAATGCCAAACCCAGCTTTGCTTCTGAAGTAGTCAGCCCTTCCTTCTGCCAGGTATTTTTGTTTGCTTCTACGTCTTCATCACCTTTGCAGATGAATGGGACAACCCAGAAGGTGACACTACCATTAAATGCTCTAGAAGTATGGTCCCAATTAGCTTCCTCACTGTCTCCATCATGAGAAAGTATATTGTGACTTTTTGAAAAGAGAGATGAGAGATGTTTTCCAAGAAGCAGGCACTAACTGATCACATGGAATGTTCAAGATTCTGGAAAGTTCACTGTATTCTTAGCCAACATGTGTCTGTAATTAATTTTTTCTCTTGTCATGCCATAGTGGAAAGTTTCCTTTGTGAATCAGTTGGTAGGATAATAGGAACTGACATGTCAGAATTACATGTATCAGCATGAGTCAGTTTCTGTGTTCTGAAGACAGTGGCACTTGATTGACATCTGGGGCTGTGGAGGAGTGCTGTGGTCAGGGTGTCCAACCTCCTGGGTTTGGTTAAAAGTGTCCTGAACAGTCCTCACGTTGAGAGTGGTGGTGTGTTGGTTTTTTATAAGACTGGTGACATTGTGTGTCTGACAAAATGTTGCATTTCCAACTGAACAGATATTTGCATATCCAGGGACTATTGAAAGCAGTTTCCATGGCAGAGCTGGAGTTCTTCTGTCCTCATGACCTCATGTTCTGGACCTTGTTAAGGCTCTTCCTGATATCTTTCATCTGGTTTAGGACTAGCCAAGTGATAAGGAAGAAAGCAAGCCATTAATTTCCTTTGCCAGGAAGTAAACTTGACTTGACACCTTAATCTGAAACTGTTTGGACATCACCTACATGGCATGAATATGAAGTGACTCCTTGTTCCCACCTCCTCCATGAGTGAACTTTTTTCTAAAATCTCTGTTCTTAATTTCCCTTCGTGAGTAAAGAAATGATTGACCTGAGGAGCTAGGAGGGAGAACTAGTCCATTTTTCTGGACAGATTTCATGGAAAGCTACCTAATGGGAAGTGTCCCATTGACAAACAGAGTATGTTATTTGCACATTACCTAAATGTGGGCTCCGTGGCTCTGTCATTTTAGTGGGTTTTTGAATACTTGTTTTTATGTGGGCTTCATTTGATGACCAGTCAATCAAACATATCTCATCATGTTTCTAGTTTGGTGGGGTAGCAAATTTTTTGTTTAAATTGACAAACTCCTGTTTTCTCTGCCTTAAGGTACTGAGGGAAAAGTCTCAATGAGGACTTTATAATTGCCTGATTGATTTCAAGCACATTAAACATTAACCACTCAGGAAGTCAGTGAAATTTCCAGTTGTCTGGAGGATTCACATTTCTCTTCATTACTGGTGTTTGGTTTCTCTGTGTGATGCAGAAAGACCCCTTCTGTGTTACATAGAGGCAGTGAGTCAATGAAGAGTAGAGGCCCTCCCTCTCGGGCTGTCATTGAAAGCTGACAGTTTCTAACAGCAAACAACAAAGTCAGCTCCGAGCAGTGAGTCTTCCAGGTTTCTAGCAACATGGAGGGTCTGTGGCACATGTGAGGTCATGGTTTTGCACACCTGTGCTTTCTGCACTGCCTCACTTGTCCCATCAAGCTCAACAGGGAAAGGGCATCATTCCCTTAACACCAAAATGCAAATTATACAACCTGTGGTTGGCAAAAGATGAAAAAAGGGCACTCTTTTTCAACCGATAATCCATGGAAGCAAGAGAAAACAGAGGCAAAGGTTAAGATTTTTAAAGAAACCATGTCTTACTTTTCATTCAGTGCAACACTGCATCTGGTGCTACCCTTGCTTGGTGTTGAGGTTTAAATGTCTGAAAATCTTGGAGTCCAAAGGGAATCCTGGTTTCATGGTGACAATAAGGTCTGCCCAACACAATAAACTTTTCCCTCTCTTCTTTACAGTTGTCTGGCTAGTCATTCAGCTCTTATGTATAGAAAGGGCAGATTGATAGAGGACAATCCTTCACTTGTCAGAAGTCATAAACCCTGGCAAAGGTTGGAAGGCTTTCCTAGAGTCTAGCTGATGAACAGCTGCGGTCTCAGATTCTCGCCCCAAATCTGGGAGCTGCCCCAAGCAGAGTCTGGATGGCAAGCAGCTCTGGCACTGCCAACCATGATGGGGAGAGATAGAGCCCCAAAGAGCCCTGGCCTGCCCTCACTGAGTCTTAGAGGGCAGGTGCTGTGTTTCCCTGATAGTCCTCTGAGCTGTTCTAGGGTGAGGAGTAAAGCTGGAGACAGTTCTGCTGCTCAGTGATCAATGGACATTTTGACCCATTGCGTCAAGTGCCCAGAGGTGGAAGTCCAGAAGGCATGCTGGCTGAGGAGGGCTGATTTGATGGTCAGGAGAAGCTTCTGCAGGGACACACTGTTTAAATAGAAGCCTGAGGAATGAGTGGAACTCTGCTGTGGGCTCAGGGAGGACTTCAAGGAAATGTACATGAATCACACTGAGCAGCTCCAAAGCTAGGAGCCATCTGAGAATATGAGAGCCCTGAACCTTTAAACTGGATGCTGACGTGACATGGGGAGTGGTGTTTGTGTGCATACACATGCATGTGTGCTTGTGCGTATGTATATGGGGTAGGATATAGGAAGAGGATAACCTCATCTGCCATTATTCCTCAGGAGCCTTTTTGTTTGAGACAGGTTCCCAGTGTCCCGGAACTCACCAAGTAGGCTAGGCTGGCCAGTCAGCAAGCCCCAGGAGTCTGTCTCTCTGCCTCTTACACGTCACTTGCTTCATTACTTTTAATATGTCCTATATTCATACTTTTTATTCTAAAATTTTAATTGATGAATGAATGTATATTCAAGGTATACACCATGAAGGTTTGATATACAAATACATTGTCTGATGATTATTATAATGAGTATAATGGTACTTACCACATCCCATACCTATGCTGACCATGAGACCTCAGAGATTGGTTTTGTGCATGTGGTGGTCAGAGGAACTTGTGCTCTCTCCACCACCTATCACCCCTGTAAGATGCTGGGATTACCGACAGGCCCTTCAGCATCTGGATTTTTTTAACATGGGTTCTAGAGATCTGAACTCAGGCTTGTGAGGTAAGCACTTTACCCACTGATCCATCTCCCCAGCCCGTCATTGAATGATTTTTAAAAATGAAACTCAAGTCAGCAACTCAAGCAGCAGTTTTTAAATTTGTGTGTGTGTGTCTGCATGAGTTATTGTACCACATACATGAAAGTGCCCTCGGAGTCCCAAGGGTGTCAAATATCCTGGAGTTAAAGGCCACCGGCATGAGTGCTGGTAATTGAGTCCTTTATAAGGACAGTGAGTGCTCTTAACCACTGAGCCATCCCCAGCCCAAAGCAGCAGGCTTTTTAAATTTTTTATTTATTATTATTTTTAATTCCATGTGTGAGTGTTATGCCTGCATGTAGGTGAGTGCACCCGTGTCATGCAATGCCTGCAGAGAACAGAAGAGGCTGTCAGATCCCCTGGAACTGGAGTTACAGACAGTTATTAGCTGCCATGTGGGTGCTGGGATTCCAACCCAGGTCTTCTGCAGGAACAACCAGTGTTCTTAACCGCTGAGCCATCTCTCCAGCCCCAGCAGCAATTTTTTAAAGTCAAGCATTCTAACAGTACAAGGCAAAGAGACCAATTTGATACACTAATTTGATACACATTTGTAGGAAAATATTAAAAGTCCTTATTTTCTATTTGGTATGCTAGTGCATGCCTTTAATCCCAGCACTCGGGAGGCAGAGGCAGGTGGATCTCTGTGAGTTCAAGGCCAGTCTGGTCTACATAGTGAGTTCCAGGCCAGCTGGGGTTACAGGGAGATCCTGTCTTTTTTATTTTCTGTAATTAAACCATTATGACTCTGTAAGTGCAGAAAACTTTGTATGTATAGTAAAAACACTACAATAAATACTGGAGTTTAGAATCTGAGCCAAGGTTTCCCAGGCAGCCTTTGTTGGTTCTGTGCAGTGTGACCACATGCACAGTGCAAAGTTTGTGTGTCATGTGTTCATAGACAAGACCACAGTAAGCAAAGGCAAGTGCTGGCTGACAGAGCTTAGATTTATTACACACATGTAGAGGTCAGAGAACAACTTGCAGGAGTTGGTTCTCTCCTTCTACCATATGGTCCCAGGAATTGAACTCAGGCCATTAGGGTTAGCAGCAAGTGTGATTTTTGCCAGCTCTGTAATAGTTTAGTTGGTTGGTTGTTTTTAATGCAGCATTGACCCATATATGAAGTACTGGCTAGAGGCTAGTACTCTGGGGTGACTTGTTAAGGTGAAGTTCAAGCCTCAGCCTCATACTCTAGACCACCCACCCTGTCACCCCAGAGCTTTGTCTGGGACAAGCAGGGGCAACTCTGGTGCCTCCGTGCTTGCTGAAATTGTTCAAATGAGCCCAGCCAAACCTAACCCTACTTCATCTCTTGGTGGGAAACCACAGTGGAGGGGTTTACCCAGTTTTGCTACTTCCTCTGCCAGCTGCTTTCCTGAAGCAGGCTGTTTCTCCCAGGAGCTATGATATAAAACCCCCTCCCCATTTCTCTCTGTGTGTGTGGTTTTTGTTGGGGTTTTTGTATGTTTGAGACCATATCTAGCCCAAGCTGACATCAAATTCCCTATGAAGCTAGAATGACCTTGAACTTCTGCCTCTGTCTCCTGAGTGCTGGGATTACAGATGTGTACTAACATGCCTGTTTTATAAGGTACTGGAAATGGAACCAAAGGCTTTATGCATGCTAGGAAGTACTTTACCAACATCCCCATCACCCCATACCCTTGATTTGTGTTTCTTAGATCATCATCCATCCATTACCACTCCTGTTTTTGTTTTTTTGGGTCATTTCCCCCCAGTGCTGGGGATTGAAGCCAGAGCCTCGAACACACTCTACCACTGCACTACCCCCCCCCTGCCGCCACAGCACTCCATCCTCCAAGCAGAATTACTGCAAAGCAGGTCACACATAGTCTCGTTGCTGTGACAAAATGACATGAAAGCAACTTAAGGAATGGATTGTTTTGACTCAGTTTGAGGGTACAGTCAGTCAGAGGTCATGGTGGCAGGAGCTTGAGGCAACTGGTCACATTGTATCCAGTCAGGAAGCAGAGAAGAATGCTGATGCTCAGCTCATTTTCTTTTTATTCAGCCCAGAACCCCAGCCCATTCCATGTGCCATCCCATTTAGTGTGGGTCTTCCCACCTCAATAAACCCAACCTAGAAATTCCCTCACAGACATGCCCAGAGGTTTGTCTCCAGGCTGATTATAGGTCCTGTGAAGTTGACAGTATAAACCATCACACAGGCCATAGTCAAGTGCTGAAAACCAAAGATAAAATCTTTTAAAATTGGTAGCCAGAGGGCTGACGAGGTGGTTCAAGTAAAGGCACTTGCTGCCAAGTCTGACCTGAGTTTGTTCCCAGGGACCCACCTGGTGGGAGGAGAGAACCAACTCCTCCTAGTTGTCTTCTGACCTCCACATGTGTGTTGTTGCCCATATGCTCTCCCCCAACAATAAGTTTAATTAAAAAATTAAACTTAAAACCGGGCGTGGTGGCGCACACCTTTAATCCAGCACTCAGGAGGCAGAGGCAAGCAGATCTTTGTGAGTTCAAGGCCAGCCTGGTCTATATAGTGAGTTCCAGGCCAGCTGGGGCTACAGGGAGACTCTGACTCAAAAAGACCCAAAAAAAAAAAAAGAAAAGAAAAAAGAAATTAAACTTGAGCTAGGCATGGTGGTGCATGCCTTTAATGCCAGCAAAGGCAGAGACAGATGGATCTCTGTGAGTTCAGGCCACATAGCGAGTTCAGGCTAGCTGGGGCTACAGGGAGACCCTGTCTCAAAAAAGACCAAAAGGAAAAAAAAAATTAAACTTGGTAGCCAGGAAAACAAGCCACTGGAACAGGACAGAAAGTGACTGACTTCACTGGGGAAGGTGTGGGGAATCGTTGGTTAAGGTGCTGAAGGAAGGAGATGCAAATACATCACGAACAGAGGGGAGTCTTCAAACCCAAAGGGAGATAAAGTCCCTGGGGGCAGAGAGGATGGATGGCTGAATACTGAGAGAATTCATTGCAGGAGATGAGCTCTGCATAAACTGCTAAAGCTTCTTTAAAAGGAAAATTATGCCAAATATAAGTTCAGATCTACAGGAAGGAGGGAAGGGCACTGGCATAGTGACTATGTGGGAACTATGCTACTTTTTCTTCCATTCTTTAAGAAAGCATTGACTGCTTAAAGCAAAGTAATATCTGTATTGTAGGGTTTATGATAAATATAGAAATAAATTATATCTCAATTGCACAAAGAATGGAAGTTGTACAGTTCTTATATTCCTCGTGAATTGTTTTAGGATAACACAGGCTAAGCTGTGATAAGCTGAGGCAGCACAGTGTTTTCCCAGAGTGACCATTAAAGAGAAATACCAAGGACTGCTGTGGAAGAGAAGAGGTAGAACAGAATGCTTCTGTTTATGTAAGGGCTGGGGAGATGCTCAGTCCTTAAAGTGCTTGCTGTCCAACCATGAAGACCTGAGTTCCAGCCCGAGGACCTATGTGGCAAACAGAAAAAGAGGGGGCTGGGAAGAGGACTCCGTGAGTAAGAGCGCTTGCTACAAAAGTATGACCTGAGTTCAGTTCAAATCCCCAGCACTCATGTAAAAAGCCATATGTGGCCACATGCATGCCTCCAACACAGTGCTATAGGGGGTGGAGACAGGAGGATCCCTGGGGCTTGCTGGCTGCCAGGCTAGCTCCAGCCTCAGTGAGAGACCCTGCCTTAGGGGAATAAAAAGGGGAACGATAGAGCAGAACAGCAGATGTCCTCTGGCCTTGGCAGTGTGCATGGCACATACAGCTTCACACACATACACACAAATTTTTTTAAAAGTCAGGTGTGGTGGCGTG